TGTCGAGACCGCCCCGGACTACTCCTCGGGGGTCCCGCTGAGGCCAGCTGGGACTAATCGGGGTGTCTGCTGAGGCCAGCCGGGACTGCCTGGAGAGGGGGGGAGGCTGCGCGCATCCCGAAGCCGTACCATCCTCTTTTCGTGGGCGCGCAGGAAGGGTGAGTCCAAGAGTGGGGTTCGCAAATCATGTCCCGAGGCACGTGCGACGCCCAAAGGGGGCCAGCTGACGTACTGAAAGAAGTGGAGGGGTCCATGAAAGCTGGAGAGATACCATGGCCCCCGGCAAGATACCCACCCGCTCAATATGAATCATATCCCTCTTGGCCGCCCCCGCCCCCCCCCCCTCCTCTTCATCCTCCCCCTCCTTTCCCTCCTCCCCCCCTACTTGCTTCGTTTCCCGATGAAGAACGAGAAGAGGGAGAAACGAACATTGAAGGGGGGTTTCCACTCCAACGGAATCTGGAGCATCCGAGCATCCAGCTTAGCCTGGAGCGGTGTAGCCATCTTCCCCCCTTCGATCAGCAATTAAAGGACCCCAAACTTTGTGGGCCTTCGGGAGCGGACCCTAATTAAACGGCCCAAAACATTACGGCGCGGGGTCTTTTGTGCAGATGTACCAAACCAGACCACCCAGACTTGTTCCCCGTGATGCACGCACGGGGACCGCAATTACGCTACGTTTCCGTTGTGCTATCAGGGTCAAGGGTTCTTTTATCTCGATGGCTCTTGACCGCCCAGTGGCCCCGTCCCGGTTATCTACTGACCCGGGCCAATGCAAACCTAGGACCATGCAAGATCCTGCAGCATTCTGCACGCAAGCCTGGGTCAGTTCGCCCCATGGCTGTGCAGGATCCTGCAAGACCTGGCGCCCTTGCTGACCCCCGTTTGCATTGACCCCCGTCTCGAAACCCCACCCCTTGCCCCCCCCCTTGCTGGTCGCCGGGGAGTTCTCAGGGGACTTGTCGCCGCTGGCGAGCGGGAGCGCCGCGCCAAGCAGCCTGGGCAAGCTCCCCTGGCGAGGGCAGGGATGGTCGGGCGAGAAAGGAGAGGGGGGACAAGGGAGGAAGAGGAGGGAGGAGGGAGGGAGCCCAGACACCCCAAAGGGCCCCCGTGGCCACCACGAAGCATCCAAGACGGCCTAAGAAACCTTCAAAAAAGCTCTCGGGCATCCAAACAGGCCTCTGGCCTTCTGCTCGCCGTCGTCCTCCCTGCCGATTCCTTGTTCCTTTTTTCTCCTTTTCCTCCTCCTCCTCCTCCTCCTCCTCCTCCTCCTCCTCCTCCTCCTCCTCCTCCTCCTCCCCCTCCTCCTCCTGTTCCCCTTCCCCCCCTCTCCTCCTCCTCCTGCTCCTGCTCCTCCTTCTCCTCCTCCTGGTCCTTCGACAGATAACGGTTGCCCCCCCCCCAGTTATCCTGATCGTACACTTCCCTGGTCACTTCTGGATGGGATGGTGGGGATACTTGTTTTTGTCGCAACCGCAGGCGAAGGCGCCAGCGGCGAGTCGAGTCTGCTCGGGCTGCGAGCGCGCGCAGGCACCAACAGGACCTACACTGGTGGGGATACTTTTTGTTCGCGAGCGATACGGAGCAGCCGCGCGCCGTCAGAAAGTCGCAAAGCAGCATGCCACGATCAAAATTAGGCCGCGCGCTCACAGGCGAGCTGCGCACCGCTCAGCAGGTCAGGAGGACCAGGAAGTGCACCAAGTCCACATGTAGCGCCAAAGTGGCGAGGAAGGCCAAGTCCGTGTACTCGATAACCACCGCAGTGTAGTCGAGACGGACGAAGGCGACGTGCAGGCGCTCCACGGAGGACTCCAGATCGCCGAGGGGCGGCCGGGAGACCGCGTGCGCGAAGACGGCGGGCGTCCGTGTGAAGGGGAACTGGTGGACTTACTTTTGATTGCGAGTGACGCGGAAGAGGCCGCGCACCGTCAACAGGGTCGACCAGCGGAAAAGACGTAGGTGAGGGGCAGGCACAGCGCAACTGTCGCCGGCGACGCGCGGGAAAATTAACAAGCGATGCACAACGGTAACGCGAAGGCGGAAGCGAAAAACTGGTGGGGATACTTTTTCGGTCAGCGGCCACGAAGACAGCGGTCATGTGGCGATGGCAACGTCCGGGCCACGGGCGAGGCTAATTTGCAAAAACAGAACGCGGGCGGCCAGAGCACTGGTGGGGATACGCGAAGCGTCAACAATTTGAAAAGGGTTTTGGAGCTCGCACCTTTTATGCTTTCCAACGCTCCAATGCGGCCCGAAAGGCTCCCAAGAGGCCCCCAAACGGCCAACAAAAAGGCACCAACACTGCATCCACGAGACCGAGGAGAGGCCTCCCACGAGACCCCAACGACCATCCAATAAGCTGCACACCCACAACCCAGGCAAGGTGGCGGGATGGGGCGGAAGGACATCAGATCCGCCGCCCCTGTTGTCTCGGCACAGGCGTGCCCGGCGTGCTGGACCCTAGACAAGTTGGTTTTGGTTCGCTTTCCAGAACCTCTGTACTTCGGCCCGTCCCGCCGGCCACCCGGAAGGCCGGACACGGGTTTTCAATTTCCGGACAGATTCTCCCAAGGCGGCTCGCGATGGCTAGAAAAATCGCCGAATTGGCCCAAGACGGCCTCCAATAAAGACGGCTAAGATGGTCCCAAGATGCCTCCAAGATGGCCCAAGATGCATCCAAGACGGCCTCAGACAGTCTCAAGATGGCCCAAGACGGTCCAAGAGGCTCCCAAGATACCTCCAAGACGGGCCAAGACGCCTCCAAGATGTTTTACCGAAAGGCCCGAAGAGGAAAAACAAACAATTGGTTTCAACTAGGTTTTTGAAGGATTTTGGCATTTGCTTCTCTTCGGTCCTGCGACGGCCCGACACGGCCCAGGAGCCCACAAGGGTCGCCAAAAAGATCGCCCAAGAGGTCGCCAAGATGGCCCCAGAGCGGCCCAAGAGGCCCCCAAGACGGTCCCAAGAACGCCCCAAGACGGCTCAAGCGGCCTACAAGACGCCCAAAATGGCCTCCAAGATGGCCCTGGAGCACGCCAAGAGGGCCCCAAATCGGCCCAGAGAGGCAATCACGACGGCTGCCGACGGGCCAGGAGGCCGCCAAGACGGCCCAAGGTGGCTCCAAGATGGCCCAAGACAGCTCAAGAGGCCAGAGGTCTCAAAGACGGCCCCAGGGGCCTCCAAGAGGTCCTCCGGGAAGACCCGAAGAGGCCAAGATCACTGATGTGCCTAAGGCTTTTGAACGAATTTTGCATTTGCTTCGGCTCGGCCTTCCGACGGCCCGACACGGCCCACGAGCCCCCAAAAGACCCAAAGATCGCCCAAGAGGCCTCCAAGATGGCCCCAGAACGGCCCATGAGGCCCCCAAGACGGTCCCAAAAGGTCCCCAAGACGGCCCAAGAGCCAGAGAGGCCCTCAAGACGGCTTCCAACGGCGTCCGACACGACAGGGAGGCACCAAAACAGCCCAAGATGGCTCCAAGATGGCTCCAAGATGCCCCTAAGACGTCCGCAAGACGGCCCCAGAGGCCGGCAAGAGGGCCTCCAGGAAGGCCCGAAGAGGCAAAACTCATTCATTTGCGTTAGGTATTTGACGGAAATGGGCATTGCTTCTTTGTGATCTTTCGACTGCCCGAGACGACCCAAAAGCCCCAGAAGATCGCCCCAAGATCGCCCAAGGGGCCTCCAAGATGGCCCCAGAACGGCCCAAGTGGCCCCGAAGACAGCCCCAAGCGAGCCCCAACGCGGCCCAAGAGGCCTCCAAGACGCCCAACATGGCCTCCAACATGGCCCTGGAGCACGCAAGAAGGCCCCAAGCCTGCCCAAAGAGGCCCCCAATACGGCTTCCGACGGCGCCAGACGGGCCAAGGCTGCAAAAAGACAACCAAAGAGGCGGCCCCCGAGAAGCCCCAAAAGGCCCCCAAGAGGCCCAAGGAGGCCCCAAAGATACCTCCAAAAGGCTCCCATGAAGCTCCAAGGAGGCCCCAAGAGTGCCCCCAGAGGCTCCCAAGATGCCGCCTCCTCCTCCTCCTCCTCCTCCTCCTCCTCCTCCTCCTCCTCCTCCTCCTCCTCTTCCTCTTCCTCCTCCTCCTAATGTTCCCCGCCATCCTCCCCCAAGTGTTCCCCGAAGGGTTTCTACGAGGGCTGGGGGGACACGGTTCGATAGCTTGGCAGAGCTCTTGCCACAACACTCGGCCTCATTGGAGATTCGAACAGGCAGAGGGGCGGCGGTGATTCGCCGCAGGCGCCTTCGATGCTTTTCTCATGTGTTCCTCAAGAGCGTAAGCATCGCCTCGTGAAGAGGTATGCTCAGGAGGCGTACCTCAGCTGGGTTTGAGGAAGGAGCCAAGCTGGTTTGGCAGCGCACAACCCATGCAACCTGGGTGAGCAAAGCCTACTACGAACTTGATCGCTTGTGTGAGAGGGGCCTGCTAGCAAACGCCTGTGCATGTCTATCACGAATGCCGCCCTTATCGAGTTCGATAGTGGTACAAGTTTAGCTCCAGGGTATGCTATGTGCCGCCGCGCCGTTAGTTCACGCTGTGCTCACATGGACGACGCCAACACCACGTCAAACCCACTGCAAAACCCTGGGCTCCACGCCCCCGGTAGACGACGCCAGAACCGCGGCAAACCCACGGCAAACCCACCGCGCCCGACGAGGCGTTTGCCCTGGTGCCCGCGGTAACCTCCCCAAGACGGAAGGCCTCACGTCGGAACAAACGACGCGGGGACATGAAAAGTTTCGGGCAATTCACATCGGTGATTGTGTAGCATCTTTGCGTAGTAGTGGAGATGAGGAATGTGGAAAGGTTCGCACCAACTTTCGGCGTGGCACAGAGCTAGCTGCTGTGCTGTCTGAGTGGCAAGTGTGACATCTGAACTGGACATTTACAAAAGCCAGGCTTTCGGAGTCAACCATTCTTGTCGATACAGTGCATCTCATATAACATTATATGTGTTGGCCAACTGATGCGGGCAAGGTTGCTACGTGAATTTTTTTCTCTGGAATTGCAGTTGAGATCGGCTGATCGATAGGTCGCGAAAGCTCAAGGCCAATGGCGTTGCTGGTGACGTATGTTCGAGTTTGAGTTTGTGCGGGCTGAACAAGAAGGGGGAAGAGGCTGAGGGGAAGGAAAAGGAGGAGAAGGAAGAGTGGGGACGGAAGAGGATCAGGAGGAGGAATCGGAAATGTAGGAATACCTCCCCGCAACAGCACAACAATATATTGCCAGAGCCGTGCGTTCGCCTAGTGCGCACATCGGAAACATCAAAACGGCGGGTGCCCTAGTGAAGTCAGAAGTTCGTGACAGGGCGAACATTGAATGATTCAGCGGGTACCGCAGACACCCGCGATCCCTGCGATGCCTATGCCGAACTTTAGGCCAGTGTGTGGCGTTGCGCGTCGGCCCTAACTGTCGAGGATAATTGCGCCAACGCCTGTCACAAGCTCTAGCCTCCACACGCACGTGCGCCGCAACGAGCTGTCGACCTACAGCGAAAATGATCGGGTGCACTCGGAAGGCTGGGCACTGGCCGAAGTGTGGTCGTCAATCCCGAGGAGGCCACCGACTGGAAAACCAGCGCGGGCTAGGTGTTTGGCAAAGACGTTGAGGTAGTCGGTGCCCTGCCGAGTTTTACCATGCACCACCTTTAAATCAATCTTGCCAAAGCGCATCCAATTCATGCTGCTAGGCAGGCCCAGAGTGTCACCGTTAGCGAAAAACCGCATTTCTTCTGTCTTATTCGTCCATACCCCAGATATTGCCACCATCTGGAAGTACACGTCAGCGCACTGGTCGCCCATGCGCGTGGCGTCGGCCTCCAAACGCAGCAACGCGCTGCTGCTGCTGCTCCATCGCGGGATCTGTAAAAGGATGTTTTTGCCCGTCCTGTATAAGTCAAAGCGCTCGCCGTACATGTTAGTGAGGTGAGGGTCGCCCAAGCCAGAGACTGTGCCTGTCGATAGTGTCCCCGCTGGAGACGCCAGTGGGACTGGGGCCAATGCTAATGTTGGTGATGGGGTCGGTGCAGACGTAGGTGCTGGCGACGGTGCTGGCGTCGGCGCTGGCGTCGGTGCTGGCGTCGGTGCTGGTGTCGGTACCTGCGTCGGTGCTGCCGTCGGCGATGGCGTCGGAGACAGTGTCGGTGCCGGCGTCGGTGCTGGCGTGGGTGCTGGCGTCGGTGTTCGCGTAGGCGCTGTCGTCGGCACTGGTGTCGGTGCTGGTGTGGGTGCTGGTGTCGGTGCTGGTGTCGGTGCTGTCGTCGGCACTGGCGTCGGTGCTGGCGTGGGTGCTAGCGTCGCCGCTGATGTCGGTGCTGGCGTCGGTGTTGGCGTCGGTGCTGGCGTCGGCGCTGGCGTCGGCGCTGGCGTCGGTGCTGGTGTCGGTGCTGGTGTCGGTGCCTGCGTTGGTGCTGCCGTCGGCGATGGCGTCGGTGACAGTGTCGGTGCTGGCGTGGGTGCTTGCGTCGGTGATGACGTCGGTGCTGGTGACGGTGCAAGCGTCGGGGCTGGCGTCGGCACTGGTGTCGGTGCTTGCGTTGGTGCTCGCGTTGGTGCTGGCGTCGCGTCGATGCATCCTGCTCGCGCGGAAGATTCGCTTGTATCTGAGACACTTACCCTGGCATAAGTCTCGGGATTGATGCTACAAATATGAACCCACATGGTAGCACCGGGGATTTCGACTGTATCCCCCGCGGCCAACGTAGTCCACAACTCGGTTTTCTGATTCACGTTTGCCTGGAAGTGCACATGGACGCGGTCAGCCAGGACGAGACGTCTGTGAGTGAACATATCGTAAAGGTAAATCGGTTCGGTCTCCGCCCCAACTCCGTACAAGCTTGGCCCGTCCTCCACACGGAAGGAGAGGTAGAGAGCACCCACACCTGCGGTAGATGCCTGCTCCCCAATGCACTCATCGCATGGGAGCTTCATGAGCAAGAACTCTGGCCCATCGGGCCCCTCATTGAGGGGAGACAGGTTAACAGCCGTGGCATCAGACCCCCGAGTGAATTCCACCGTCTCGGCCCCCGTAAGCCACCCGAGCCTGTAGCGATGGACCACATTGGCGTCCGCGGGCCGCCATGATCGCTGATAGCCCATGATCGCATCGTCCAGGTAGGCATTCAACTCCCCAGTGGGCATGTAGCCTCCTGCATGATGCAACCCCCACGTGTGCCCCACCTCGTGGAATATCGTCTGCCAAGTCTGAGCTTCGCCGTAGAACTGGGCAAACCCGTTCCACCAGCCGGTGGTCGGAGCATAAGCGGTTGCCATGAAGTGCTCCCCAGGTGCAAACACCAGCGTGTTTGCGTAGGCTCTCGTGCTGATCTTCGCCTGATCCGCACCTGCGCCGCCGGGCACAGAACGGGCGTGTCCTCAGGTCCTTTGCCCAACCCTCCATCCCCCAATCCGCGCTGCAGAAGAATCTGTGATTGGCCCAGCGCCCAGATTGCCAAATCTCCATGGGACGTGGGGCGCCTTCTCGCGTCCGGAGCCACAAGAGGACCCCTAGACGGGCCAAGAGGGCCCCAAGAGGCCCCCCAAACGGCTCAGGAGGGCCCCGGGTCGCCGAGCGATCGCTACAAGACGCTCTCAAGATGGCCCCCAGACGGACCCAGAGGCCTCCCAAGAGGCCTCCCAAGAGGGCCCCAGGTGATTGAAGGTTTTTGGCGTTCTCGCCTTTTCGGCTTCCCGACGCTCCCAGACGGCCTGAGAGGCCCCCAAGATCGCCCCAAAACGACCCAAGAGGCCTTCAAAAGGGCCCCAAAACGGCCCAAGAGGGCCCCAAGACGGCCCAAGATGCGCCCAAGACAACCCAAAAGGCCAAAAATGACGGCCCCAAGAGGGAGCCCAGATGGGGAATCCGAACCGAAGTTTCAAGCCCTCGGCCCCGTAAGAGCCCTCAGGCGGCTGCAAGAGGCCCCCAAGAGGCCCCAAAGCCCCCAAGAGGCCCCTAGGAGGCCCCCAGGAGGCCCCCAAGAGGCCCACAAGAGGCCCCCAAGAGGCCCCGGAGAGCGCTCCGAAGAGACCCCAAAAAGCACATCTGAGAACTCTGACCCACAACCCAGGCACGGTGGCGGGATGGACCGAACGCCACTCGATCCGCCGCCCCCTGTTGATGTATCGCAGGGGTGCCTGGCGTGCTGGATCCCAGGGTTTCTGGTGCTGGCTCTTTTCCAGAAGAACTCCCCCTGTGGCTTCGGCCCAGCGCGCCAGCCACCTGGAAGGGGGGAGCAGCTTGGGGGCCTCTTGGGAGCCTTTTGGAGGCCTCTTGGGGGGCCTCCTGGGGCACTCCACTACGTGCTGAAAGCACGGTGGCGTCCCCAGACATGCGACGTCCTGATTGTTTCAGGACGGCGTCCCCAGAAGTCCCGGACCTTTCCCCAGGACCGGCTTCTCACCTGAGTCGTTGTTGTTGACGGTCCCGAGGCCTGGCGAGGACTCTCCGATGCCGAAAACGGCCAAAAACCTCCCGTACTGATGTTTTAACGATGCGATCATGCCTGGATCTTTTCCCGTACTCACTCTCCAAGACGGCTCGAGATGGTCTCCAAGAGGGCAAGATGGCTTCCAAGTTCGCCCAAGAAGATCCAAGATGGCCTCTATCTCGGGCCCTCGTGGGCCGTCTTGGAGGCATTTCGGAGATGCCTCCAAGTCCGCCGAAGAAGCCTCCAAGACGGCCCAAGACGGCCCCCTAGAGGCCCCCACGAGGCCCTCAAGACGGCTCAAGAGGCCTCCAAGATGTCCTCCAGAAGATCATGGATTTGCGTAGGCGTGTGACGGATGTTGCTTCTGCTTCTCTTCGGCCTTATGGCCAAAGAGGGCCCCAAGATCACCCCAAGATGGCCCCAGAGGCCTCCAAAATGACCCCATGACGGCCCAAGAAGCCTCCAAGACGGCCCCCAGAGGGCCCCAATACGGCCTCCAAGACGCCCATAGTGGCCTCTGAGACTGCCCTGAAGCGCCCCAAGAGGACCCCAAGTCGGTCCAGAGATGCCCCCAAGACAGCTGCCGACGGCGTCGGACGGGCCAGGAACGCCCTAGGACGACCAAAGAGGCCCAAAGAAGCCCCAAAAGGCCCACGAGGCCCAAGGAGGCTTCCAAGAAGCCTCCGAGATGCCCTCAAGATACTCACCGCAGGCCCCACAAGTCCTCCTCCGCCTCTTCCTCCCTCCTCAGCCTTCTCCTCCTCCTCCTCCTCCTCCTCCTCCTCCTCCTCCGCCTCCGCCTCCGCCTCCGCCTCCGCCTCCTCCTCCTCCTCCTCCTCCGCCTCCTCCTCCTCCTCCTCCTCCTCCTCTCCTCCTCCTCTGTATGTGTCCTCCTCCTCCTCCTCCTCCTCCGCCTCCTCTCTGTGTCTCCTCCGCTTCTTCTTTCCCCCCCCCCCCCCCCCGCGTATTCCCTGGATGGTTTCCACAACGTCTGGGAGAACACATGGTCGGATAGGAGAACACAACGTTCGGCCACATGGGCGATTCTAGAATGCAGGGGGCGGCGGTGATTCGCCGCAGACGTCTTCGCTACGCTGCTGAATAATACACACCCATTACAAGATAAGACAAGCGGTACCCCCAGGTCGCAGGATCCTGAGGCGACTCCATCTCGAGGAAGTCCACATTGGAGGACTGGAGCCACACCTGGTGCCACGAATTGTGGTATAGAGCGTGGCTGACGCCTGGAACGTCCCAGAACATCCCCTTCACCTCTGAAAGCGTCTTATAAGGTCTGCTGCTGCCGTATGTGAGGTAGACGACGAGGATCGGGCCGTAAGACCCCATGGGCGATAGCATTGTCCCAGTGACTCCAGTCTCGGCATATTCTGCACCATCTTGGTGTGTATTCAGGAATGCGTTGAAGTGCTCTTCTGGCATGGAGTGGTTCGCCGGAGTGTCCACCCACAACCATTTGGCGTGCTGTGCAGCAACTGCGTCAACCACAGTGCACACGCAAGCGGCTGCAAACGCATACATCAATACAACTGCCATGGTGGTCCGACCTACGGCAGCGAGTCAAAATGAAACACGTACAATCAAGAATGTGGATGTGTTGAGCCGTGGGACACCTGAAGACGGCTTAAGCCAACATGGCTACGGAAAAATCGGAGTGTGTAGGAGAAGGCGCAAGAAGCTCTCAAAGTGGCCAGTTGAAATCCCCAAGAAGGGATGTCGAGTCCCCCGATGCTCAATCTTGACATCCTCGCTTCGTGATTCTGAAGCTCTGCCGACGACCCCCTCGTACACCTCCTCCTCCTCCTCCTTCTCCCGCCTCCTCCTGCTGCCCCTGCTCCTGCTCCTGCTCCTGCTCCTCCTCCTCCTCCTCCTCCTCCTCCTCCTCTTCCTTTCCCTCCGATCTCCCTGTCCTTCTATGCTCCTCCCCTCTGTCACCCTCCTCCGTCTCGCCCTCGTCTTCCTCCTCCTCTTCCGCTCCCTCCTCCTGATCCCCCTCCTCGTCGTCCTCCTCCTCTTCCTCCAAGTTCGTGCCGTCGAATCTCCTTTCCGAGGCACTCGGGCGCACGAGTTCCAGACATGGGCTAACCGGTTCCTACACACTTCTCAACGTTCAGAGATAGATCACAACCGCCGCGGCGATACAGGAATAGGCAACGTGCACACAAAAACCCGGACTGATGCTCGCACAAGAAAGCGGATCCCGGTATATACGGGATCCTGGCGTGTACATTCTTTGTTGTTCCCCCGGGGAACGGGGAAACAAGTATACACCACACCACCCCGACGTCGTCCCCGACCCTCAAGAGGTTGTGGGATCGAAACGAAACCCGCCGCTGGTAATGTTATGTCGGGCCTGTCCCCCTACAGGGGGATTTTCGACGAAAAATAAATACCCCAAAAATACACCAGAGAAGGTCCAAAATACTCAAAAAAAATCCCCCTGTATATCATGTTTGGGCTATTTTTCCCTTGGGTATTTTTCATTTTTCGTCGAAAATCCCCCTGTAGGGGGACAGGCCCGACATAATGGTAATGTACATGTTCCAGCTCCGATTGGAGGAGGAGGAGGAGGAGGAGTTCCGATTTCCGTTTCCCCGATCTCCGGCGGCCCTCCAGATCGAGGCCTCCCGGTCCCCGGTTTCGCCGGGCAACCTCCCCTTCCTGAGAGGGGGGGGGGGACGCCAAGGGGAGGGCCGCCTCGAGCGGGGAGCGGGCCTCTCGCCCTGGAATGTCGTCGGGCACGTCCCCCTAGACAGGAGGAAGATTGAGGAAGAGTCACAAAAACAGTCCGGGGGCGAATGGTTGATCATGCTTTAAACATGTTTGAACAGCTGTTTGTCTACTTACCTAACTGACTACCTACCAGACTACCCCAACCCAACCCGAAGACCCGAATTTCGGGTTGGGGGGGGGAAGGGTTCCACACGTGTTTTTTCGATGTGTCCCGACCCCCCCCCCCACTGGAAATCGAGGGTAAATCTGAGCCTTCGGGTTGGGTTGGGGTGGTTTGGTGGGTGGTGACTAACAGCGAAGACTGATAGGTTTCTAATGGTGTCAAAAAAGAGCATCTGATGACTCAGAAGGGAGGTATGGGCGGCATCAGGACAGCGAGGGCCGAGCTCAGGGCCGGGCTTGTTTTAAGCAAGCAGTCACACACTTCGTGCTCTTCGACCTCCCAAAACTCCATTCCCGGACCACATTTTCAATACCCGAAGCCAGCGGTAGGCCACTTCGTGCTCTACGACTTCCCAGAACTCCACTCCTGGGCCACATTTTGGATGCTCGGAGCCAACTGTAAGCCACTTCGCGCGCTTCGACTTCCCAGAACTCCATTCCCGGGCCACATTTTGGATGCTCGGACCCAACTGTAAGCCACTTCGTGTTCTTCGACTTCCCAGATCTCCATTCCCGGGCGACATTTTGGATGCTCGGACCCAACTGTAGGCAACTTCGTGCTCTTCGACTTCCCAGAACTCCACTCCCGGGCCACATTTTGGATGCCCGGAGCCAACTGTAGGCCACTTCGTGCTCTTCGACTTCCCAGATCTCCATTCCCGGGCCACATTTTGGATGCCCGGAGCCAACTGTAAGCCACTTCGTGCTCTTGGGCTTCCCAGAACACCATTCCCGGGCCACATTTTGAATGCCCGGAGCCAACTGTAAGCCACTTCGTGTTCTTCCACTTCTCAGAACTTAACTCCCGGGCCACATTTTGAATGCCCGGAGCCAACTGTACGCCACTTCGTGCTCTTCCACTTCCCAGACCTCCAAGACTCATAATTTTCATCATCATCATCGTCCCCGTAGCGTTCTTGGCTACAGCCCTGCTTTCGAAGATTTCTTTTCAAAGGAAGTGCTAGTCAGCCTGCAAGTTCTGGCTACAGCCCTTGCTCCTCAGCCTCCGAAGTTCCGCGGTGCTTCTCAGCCTGCAAGTTTTGCCACACGCCGCTCCTCAGTGCGCTCCTCTTCCGTTTGCGAGATGTCTTCCAAGATTTGGTTGGAGGCCGAGAAAGACGGACAGAACAAATCCAAGTAGCGCGGTCATCATCCCATCATCCTCCTCAATCATCACATCATCATCACCAATGGCTTCGCCGAGCACCCCGGTGGAGACTCAGGTCTCACGGGCCCGTGCCCATACTACTACTACTACTACTACTACTACTACTACTACTACTACTACTACTACTACTACTACTACTACTACTACTACTACGACTACTACTACTACTACTACTACTACTACTACTACTACTACTACTACTGCTGCTGCTACTACTACTACTACTACTACTACTACTACTACTACGACATAACACTAAATCCTTTCATGGGAGTACCTCATTGATGCAAGTCTGTCGTTTGAGGCTCAACCCGTTGATAGCAGTGTCTCGTTTGGAATCACATCCGTTGATAGCAGTGTCTTGTTTAGACCTCAGTGCATTTATACAAAGATCTCATTTGGAGATACCGTTATCGAAAGCAGTTTTTCTACTGCTACTACCACTGCTCCCATCACTCCTACTCGTTCACTCCACACACTACAACTACTACTTCACTGTTACCACTACTACCATCACTACTACTTCTACTGCTACTACTACTGTTACTATTACTGCTGCTGCTGCTGTTGCTGCTGCTAGTGCAGCTATTGCTACTGCAACTACTGGCAGTGCCACTGCGACTGCCGCTGATGTTGCCACTGCGAATGCCACTGCGAATCCGAATGCGACTGCGAGAACACCAGAATTCTACAACAGCGCTCTTACATGAATACCACAAGCGATGTTTCCAGCTATGCTTCTACACATCGCTGTTAGGTTGCTTTGCCGGGATATTTTGTTGATGTTCGTCGAAAACCGCCTGTAGGGGGACACGCCCGACCTACACCTGGAAGCGGTGATACGTAGCCGATGGACCGGCGACATCCCCACGCTGGCGCATCCGCACGCTCCTGGGCGGGGTACGCCGTGGGGCCCACATCGGCGATCAGTGGGCGGTGGTGAACGTATTTTCATCCGGCGTTTCGACATTGGGCGGCAGGGGGGGGTGCCTGGCTCTGGACCTCTGCTTAGTGCGACTGCTTGGGACCGTGCGTCCTATGGGGGAGGGGCCCCACCTGCTTGAAACAGGCGCCCAAAAACGGCCGCCAAGATCTACTCCATGGGGGGGGAGGGGGGGGGGCGAGGGCCCGCGCCGATCGGCAAAACAATGAATAACAAAACGATCACATGGCGACTCCGCACGCTCCTGAGCGGGGCAGGCTGTGGGGCCCGCATCGGCGATCAGTGGGCGATGGTGCACCCCTCCTCGAGCCCGTTTTCGCCCTCGGCGTGCTGCTCCGCTCCGTGGGGCGGGCAGATTGGCACCACTCGGGACGTCGACCTCCCGGGAACCGGGGACGCGGTGGGCGCGTCGCGCCGAAGCACGGTGGGCCAGCACAGGCGGCGCGGCATGCTGAGCAAGCGCTCCTGAGCGTGGCACAGACAACCGACGTCTCGATGTTTTCGAACAGGGATCCCCAGAAGTCCCGACCCTTTCACCCGGGCCGATCCTTCATCCTGGGTCGTTGCTTGACGATCCCAGTCGGTTGTTGCTAGAAGTACCCTTGGCCCAAGGTGCCCCCATCTTTTCGCACTGGTTCTGAGCCCCTGGGGCCCCCTGGGCCTCGCGAGGGGTGCCCTGGAGGCCGCCTGGGTCATCCCGAGAATCCTGGGGGCACCTTGGGCCAGGGGTACTTCTAGCAACACCCGACCCGGCGGGGCCCCGCTAAGCACCCCCAGAGGCCCGGCGACGACCTCGGCGAGGCCGCCACCGACGACGCCGACCCGCAGGCGACGACGGGCCGGCGGACGACGGCCAAACCGACGGCCGACGACGAGGGCAGGCGGGATCCTGCAGCCGCCCGCCATCGTTCGCGCAGGGGCCCCTGGCAACCTCCGCGGCTGCCCAGCCGACCTCCTGCCGAGGGGCGCGCGCCGCAGGCCCTGATCGTCGTTCGAGGATCGCGGGTCCAGGGTCGAGAAGCAATGTGGCCCCCAAACTTCATATATATATATATATATATATATATATATATATATATATATATATAGGGGTTCCTGCGATTCGTGGCGCGCGCCTCTGCCTCACCCTCATTCCCGTCCCTCCTCACGGCGACCCTCTCATGCTCAGACCAACTCACGCTCAGGTCACTCATACCGGGACACAGACCGTCTGAATCGGTATGTCTTTCAATATGAGTGATGTGAGCGTGAGCTCTAGTCCATGCGGTTCCGGCCAAACTCGCCACATCCGAATGCCACTTCCGCACTGGACCGAACCGGAATAACAGTTATCTTGGCGAAGAACTCAAAAATGAATATATATATATATATATATATATATATATATATATATATATATATATATAATTGTGAATACCGTCGTTGCGGGTATCGCCTTCGGGGGATCTCCTCATGGGGCCATGAAGCATGCGAAGGGTATGCCGATATGGGGCGGGGCTGCCCTGTGGGCGCTGCCACCGGGCCTTCAGGCGGAATGCACGATGGGGGCGCGAAATGTGAGAGGGGTGCGCCGCAATGGGGCGCGGCCGCCACTGGGGCCTTCGGTGGAGCTCCTTATCTCCCTACGGGGTCAC